ATTTAGAACACTTTGGAAATATTGGAAAAAGAGCTTGTATTAAATTGTTTAAAATACAAATAAAAACCAATGTATTATCTCAATTGATCTTGATATTTTAGACTGACCGGAGGCCGTTTTTCTACAGAAGAAGTCCAGCGTCGTAGGGTTCAGGAGTGAGGTCTGCCTGTTGGACGTCAGGTATAAGCTGGCCCAGTGGCGTGATGTGACATTGAAAGAGGACAATCACATCCGGGTCGCTAGATGCAAGGAATCAATCTGGGGGAATATTGTAGGAGGCCGGTGCAGCCGATCGGATAGCTGTACGACCGTCTGGTGTTCATTGGCCATTCTCCTCAGTCAGAAATTGGACATCTTTAATATCGATTTGGCGCTGTGTGGCAAACTTTTGCACACGATAACAATATGGTGTGGAGTTTGTGGACAAAGTACCGTAGACGGAGATGTAGGAGCGGATCAGAGGTCCGGACCGACAAGAGGAATTTAGGACCGGACTAGAGGACCGGACCTAAGAGGATTTGTTTAGGACCGTAACAGATGACCGGGCCTGAGAGGATTTGATTGAGGGTTGGACCCGAGGACTGGACCAGATAGTAGAATATATAATTTAGTGAGAGAGAATGATGACTCATCAGACATCATGATTGTTTAGTAACTAGGAGACCATAATCTTAGATACGAATTTTTTCACAATCTGCCGTTGTTAGAGAAGATCTCGTCCAACATAGGAACATGATTAATCAATACAGCAGACACGCCGTTCATAACGGCACTTCTGACAGAGTTTACTTGTTTCAGACTTCACACTTTTGACTAAGCGCAACTCGGTTTTGACTACATTTTTAAGTGGCTAAGCTACTGTATTTATTATACTACGTTCTTTAAAGATTAAATCAACTAAAAAGCAACTTAGTTTACTTTTAATTTTTTCCACGATGACGGGACCCAAGACTAGACCGTTGACTACGGCTGCCGAGACGATTGATTGGAGCTCTTTGCCGTTTAACCGTGCTATGGAATAAGGTGGAAACAGCACTTGCCAAGAAACCTGCATCCGAAGACGATAAGAAAGTGGAAATCCATGTGGAATTGACCCGTTTACTTTCGGAGGCTCAATTATCAATCGCAACCTTGGACAGGCTTAGACAGTCCCCAGACTGGATTTATGATCAAGAAGGACACTTGAATACGATAATGCATGTGCAGGAGGCCACGGAAAATATTCCTCTCATTCAAGAGCAACTCCGCCAACTCCGTGAATTGTCACTGGCAGATATTGACACGTCTACGCCCCAGGACACGGACCAGGCGACAGTGGATGAGGATTTTTCTGAGTCCCAGGCCGCATCAATAGTGCAACCACATTGGGCTCCTCAATACCCAACGCAGGCAGGGTCGACACCCACCATCCAGTTACCTGACAACGGGGCTAATAACGTGAAAGCAAATTAGCCCGGTGAAGCGTAGAATTGGACGTACGAAACCTGTACCTCAGGTGGCTCCTTACGACAATGTCCATGCTACTTGCAGAGAGCGGTTGTTGAAGAACGCTCAAAATCGGGCACAAACAATTCTGACCCCTGATGAGATGCCGGCTAATGGTCCGGATTGGTATCAGGAATTGAAAACTCTGGTGAAATCGCCTGGTAATAATTTTTTTGGAACCTGCGGATTTACACTTGGACATGGACACTCTTCGGAATTTATCGTCGTCGGCATGTAGTAA